AGAATTCATAGACTTGGTAAATGGTCTTCTAACCGAACGCGTCCCGTTATCCTCAAATTTAGCGACTTTAAGAAAAAAAAGAAGTACTTAGAAATGCCCGGAAGTTAAAAGGATCAGCCATTTTTATTAACGAGGACTTTTCCCTACTCGTCAGGAACGTACGGAAAAGGTTGTGAGACAGTGCTAAGGAGAACAGAGATAAGGGGTAGAGGGCGACATTATTGTACGACAAATTAAAGATCGGGGACGTAATGTACGCCTGGGATGAAGAGAAGGATGAGAGAGTACAATTTCCCCCACGTGCCCCATACGAGCAGCATAATTCCGCTAGGAAATGACCAGTCATGTCGAACGGCAATAAAGATTTTGTAGTCCTCAATGTGAATGCCAGAAGCGTGGTAAATAAAGTCGTTGAACTTGAACATATCTTGATTGAACATACTCCGCATGCTGTCATTATCACTGAAACCTGGCTGAACTCATCAGTTTTAAATTATGAAATCATCCCACCCGGACATAAACTTTACAGAAAGGATCGGGAAAGTAAAGGGGGTGGTGTCGCCATAGTTATCAAGGATTGTTCAGACTGTACAGCATTAGAAGGCATAGAAAATAAATGGTGCAAGATTAAGTTTGGCCACGTTGAATACATTTTAGGTGCTGTTTATCGCCCGCCCGGAACGGGACTAAAATTTGTGAATAAACTGAATGGCTTTCTAGATAAGCTCCGTGCGCACTCTCGTAAAGTCATCATTGCCGGTGATTTTAATCTTGCTGATATTGATTGGGATGGCATGGTTCCGACCTCTCGTGAAACTTTGGTTTCTTCCGCTCTCCTTGAAATGTTTTTTTCGCACAATCTAACTCAAGTGGTCAGAGAGCCCACAAGAATTCAAGGTTCGTCCAGTTCACTTCTGAATTTGTTTCTTGTTTCTGACGGCTTGCTATCAACCACTTATGAGTGTAGCGTATTGCCCGGAATCTCAGGTCATTGCCCATGGTCCTTTTATCTCTTCCAAACTTAACAACCCCTTGTAGAAAGTTTACATATAGCGTATACCAGGATTTCAATCAGGCCGACGATGAGACCATCCTGGACGAACTACTTTTGGCACAAGGAACTTTCCAGGAAATGGCTGATACTCCAGCACTTTCGGTCAACGGCTTGTGGCTTTATTTAAAAGAAGTTATCATTAAGTGTATGACTATGTACCCACTAGGACAAAGAAGGCAACGCACAATCCCTGGATCACTAGAAATATTATTAATTTAAAAATAAAGATATCACGATGTCGGGCTCAAATTCGTAGAACAGCCACTCGCGGTGCGCGTGAAAAAATCAGGTCGCTAAGTCAGAATCTCAAAACGTCAATTAAAGACGCGAAACACAGATATTATAACCAAACGATGCCGGCGTTTTTAATCTCGTCTCCCCGCAAATTTTGGCGGCACCTTTCACCGACAAAAGAGGGTGTGGAAAAACTTGATGTCGATGGACACACGATCGAAGATAACTACGAAATAGCAAATTGCTTTAATATTTTTTTTTCTATTGTGTTTTCTTCTGATGACGGAACGACGCCTGTGTTTAACCAATTGGAAGACGTTCCCGCCATTCCTGATGTACAGTTGTCTCGGGAAGGAATTGTAGATCTGTTACTTCACCTAGACTGTAAAAAAGCAACCGGATACGATAAAATTCTAAATCCGTTTCTTCAACGATATGCCGAGTCTCTGTCCCATTATATTATCATCGTTTTTGAGAGATCCCTGAAGTCTGGGAAAGCTACCTCCGTTACCAATTACAGACTAATCTCACTAACATCAACATGTGGGAAACTTTTAGAGCATATACTTTCGAGCCATATTCACTCCTTAAGTCATTACAACTTATTAAACAGCTCTCAGCACGGCTTTCGTAAAGGGGTATCTACTATTACTCAGCCGGTTGAAATAAGTCACGCATGGTTTTTTTGAAGTAATGAACCGTAAAGGCCAAGTTGATGTTATCTTTTTAGATTTAAAAGAAGCATTTGATAAGGTTAACCATAGGAAATTATTACTCAAATTAAAATATATTCTGAAAAACCCAGGTCTCATCAGATGGATAGAGATGTTTTTGTACGGAAGAAGACAATTTCTAGATATTAAAGATAAACATTCCAATTTGATCGATGTAAAATCAGGTGTACCTCAAGGAACAGTGCTCGGTCCTTCGTTTTTTTTTTAATATTTATTAATGATCGTCGACTGTATCTTGTACACAGAAGTTAAGGAGCCCATCGATCAACTTAATCTTAACACGTGCTTAGCACGCGTTGGTCAGTGGTGCAATACTTGGCAAATGTCACTAAACTTAGATAAAACCATTTGTATGACTATTACACATAAAACAAAGCCCATTGAATTCGCGTACGCCATCGAAGGGTATCCACTAGAAAGGGTAAGCAGCTACAAATATCTCGGTGTCATTATTTCTCACGATCTCCGTTGGAGTGCTCATATTGATAGTATTGTAAAAAAAGCGAATTATAAACTGTGGTATTTAAGGCGGTCTTTGAAACTAAGTTCAATGAACATAAAACTTTTGGCTTATAAAACACTCATTCGTCCGTTGATGGAATACGCATGCAAAATTTGGGATCCTCATATTGTCACGAATGACAAGTGATGAGGCGGTGAATAACTGGTAAATTGAACTTTTAATGGGGCGAACTTGTGCCCAAAAACAAAAGGAAAGCGAAAGATAACAGAGCGTCGCGGGCGTTGAAGGCGGCGAAGCAGCAGGATCGAACGCTGAGGCGAAACTGACTCGACAAGGTCGCGGGCGGCCTCTTATCTAGAGTGAGTCATTATCTCGAAGATTCGGCGAAAAAGGTTCGAGCGTAGCGCGCTCGGGGTGAGAATGAACAAGCACTTTCTAGAACAACAAAAGCAGGGATAAACGATAGTTATTTCCGCAGCAAGAATAAACGAGAACTTTCTACAAGTCTGTGACCCTGCGCGCGGCAATATTGTTAAAGATGTGCTAAAGCTAGAAAAGATGCAACGACTTGCTTTACGTTTTATTTTTTCCAAATTTCGTCGACTGGATTCACCTACGGTACTCTATTCAAAAGCCAACATTCCATTACTTAAGATGAGGCGTAAAGAAAAAAGATTGAAATTTTTATATATGATTCATAATGGCTTCCTGCAGATAGATAAAAGCACCCTACCTAGTTCCTGACCGAGTCGAGAATAACTCGGAACAAACACAGCCGCGCACTTCATCAGCCCCGGTTCTTCAAGGACTGTTTCAGATACTCATTCTTTCCACAAACCATTAGTGACTGGAATCTTCTTTCGGAGGAAGCTGTGGTATGCCAATCACTTGAAGCTTTTTTTTCTTATATAGCATCTTCCAAAATGTGAAATAAAATATTGTTTTTTGTATGGTTTTTCCGCCAACGCATTATAGCGCCATGACGGATCAAATTTTTTTATATTTCATTGTCAAAGCGTTTTTTTTTGTGATTATTGGTGATACCTTTTATAGTACCTTTTCAAGTGTGTGCTGCTCTTGTTGTTGTTATTTTCTTTGTACACTTGTATACCCACCCTATCATAGTCTCAATAGAGACTGATAGTATTTGAAAGAAAAAATAAATAAAAAAAAGGGAGTTTACTTTGTATCATCGGATTGTGTTCCAAGGTCTCAAGGCCAGCTGTCTACACTTCTCAAACCGCACGCTAGCATTAACGCTCGTGTCGTTAGTGCCTACGGGAAAAATTACACCATCAAAATCCGACAGAAAGTCAGATAACTGGGAAAATGGGTTCTCGACCCACGAGCCAATAAACGTCAGCACTTCCACGGCTACCAGATTATTCGATTGTAAATACTCATGTAATTCACAACCGAATCACCAATCGAATCACCGGCAATAAAAAAAAAAACTCTAGCAGAGCGGACGCTGGAGAGGCGGCGGCCTCTTTTCCAGCGTTCGCTCTGTTAAAGCGAAAAAAGATAAGAGGAGCTTCCCCTAAACCCTTTTTCTCTCACCGACTTTAGACACGTAGATTGTACTATTTTGCACGGACAGCAGTAAGCAATTAAGATAATGTCGAGACCGCTTTAAACAAATCAAATAACTGCGTCCAAACCACTCGGGAATGAACGTCCGCGCAAGGAAAGAACGTCGAGCACTTGGTAAAACAGTAAGAGTCCAAACCGGAAGTCACTGCGGGGACATAGCCGAAAAGTAGCTACATCAACTCCGGAAATGACGTAGAGCGTGGATAAAGCCGTTCTTTCTAAGTTTAAGCTCGGGCGAGTTGGTATGACCTAGTGGAAAATTAAATCAGCGCAAAGGGACGAGCGACCATATAAGGAAAGACTCGGACTCAGCGCTGTGTCTGTGTTTTTCTTCACCTGGCCCCTCGTCTTTTGCGCTGTCTTAATTTTCCGTTCTTCCCCCGACTTGGGTATGTCACCCGTGCGTGTCACTTCTATCCAAAAATTTGATGCGTCATGATGTCGTCATGCAAACACTGGCCGCAATGCCTCGTTCATGCTAAACATCTGAAGGCATGGTGTTCGGCAAATGGTTCGTCTCTGGTAGTTGCTATTTTTATAAACGTCGGATGAAGTGCATGTTCTGGCCTGGACTCGTCCTAAAAGAAATTGATTGATTGATTGGTTTATTGATTGATGGATGGATGGATGGATGGATGAATGTATATATTGGTGGATCTATTTATTTATTTAAATAGTTTCCTGATCGATTGATGGACTGATTGATTTTTATTAATAGATGATCCGTTCGCCTGTCTTAGCTGGATGTCGCCGCCTTCTCAAACAAAATCAAGTGAGGCAGTTCCCCCTGGATAAAGGTGGGCGCTTTGTTTTAGAGCTGCGTCGCAAGAGAGAGGACTCAGAGTCATACACTAGGATAATACTTTATTTCCAGAGTGTGTACTAGGTAGACAGTTTAACGCGTGTAGCTATTAATCAGGCCGCACCAGTAGGCATCCCATCTATATGCCCAAAAGGGCCTCAAATCTAGGTTCACATGAGCCATTCGGGGCCCACATGGGTTGTGGGAATGCAACGAGCAGCCGGAGACAAAAATCAGCTACTGCGTGCAGTCCACTGCGATGGCGTCAATTTCCACACGGGCGTCCTGGTGGGAAGAAAGAAAAAAAGAAAACTTGTTAAGTTTGAAGATGATTAATTTTATTTCGATTGTACAATCGAGATGACACTACGCACGAGCGTGTCTGCCCGAGAGATAAATTGACAAATATAGAACTCGACGTGAGCAGCAGTCATCGTATACTATATAGCAATATTAAGGATCAAGACATGCTTTGAAAGACTATTGTTTCCGCACATCTGTACCGAGTTATCCGTTCGTATGTTTCTCCCGACGAAGCCAAAGTTGTCGAGCTATACGGCGAGCACGTGCGTGGCCAAAATCGGTCTTTGACTCAAGCGGGAACGCATGGAGGGGCACGCGCCAAATATCAAAAGACAAAACAGCGCACACGCGGAAAACGTGCAATGACGAGAGGCAGCCGAGCTTGTGTACTCGTTCGTTGAGGTCGGGGAGTAAACAAAAGCACGTGGGAGCATTTGGCGGGTATAGACAAACACGTGATGTGCGCAAGGGGGCTGAGGAACTTGCGCGCCGTATAGTCACCGAGAACGTCCGAGACGCGTCGGGCGTGCCGCGGGTCCAGCTTATTATCACATTATCGCCCAGCAGCCAATGCGATATTGCGGCATTAAACGATAAGAACCCCAAAGAACCAATCGCAAATGAACAAAAAAGCGCAGGATCACGGCGCATTCGATGCGCTTGAGTGATTTGGTCGGTGATGGTGAACACACAAAGACGACGAGTGCCGTGACGGTGTCTATTCGGTCCTTCTCGATTGGCTTCATCAAACCGCAGTTTGAGCCGTGGTCAAATCCCGGGCTTTTAACTCGTCAAACACAAAGTTGGGACCGACGTTCACGGAACGCACCGATTAGACTATCGCGGTGGTGACTTCGCACTTTTGTCGCCATGGCGTCCAATCGGCGCGATCCTCGAACTTTCGGTTCCAACTTTTTGTTTGACGAATGTCGGGCCCCCCAAGTAAAATAGAATATTGACACCGGAGCTTGCACTCCTAAAAATGCCTCCGTGTCTGCTTACCCGCAATACACTCGAAGAGCCAATCTCTGCGATCTACGGAATCAGCTCAGCGAATGAAAAGGCGGAACATCCGTTTAGATCTAAAAATGAAGTCTGCGCTGTAGCATTGCGCAATGCAAAACGTCATGTTTGCATTGCGTAATGCCACAGCGCAGACTTAATTTTTGAGGTCTAAACAGATGTTCCGCTTCATCATTCGCTGAACTGATTTCGTAGATCGCAGAGATTGGCTCTTCGAGTGTTTTGCGGGTAAGCAGACACGGAGGCATTTTTAAGAGAGTGTAGTTAAAATGATAACCAGGGGCCCTAAACTCGTCGAACACAAAGTTGGAGCCCAAAGTTAGCGGAGCGCGCCGATTGGACGCCGCCGAAAAAAGCGCCAAGTCATCGTCGGGATCGTCCAATCGGTGCGTTCCGTGAACTTCGGCCCGAACTTTGTGTTCGACGAGTTTAGCACCCTTGTTGTCCATATTTCAGATGCGGTGGATATACCTCATATTGGAACTCAATTCAAATCTATTGTTAAAAAAGTTGAAGTCTTTAAAAACATTGCCGGAAAGCTTTTTTTTTTTTTTTTTTTTTTTTGAGGGGGCATTTGGGAAATGAAATAACTCCCAATGTAAAAGGAGTAAAAAAGGTACCGAGAGTCAGTGAGACACGTGCAATATAGAATGAACGTAATACAAAACGTAACCATACATTTCCCCAGCGCTTTACGAAACGAAATTATGAGCCCTATACTACTTGTGCGAAATAAAGAATATACGACAAGCGCACAACTGATCTTCGTGTTTGTCACCCACCTCCCTTTGTTTGTACGTGTGCAAAATACGTGCTACATCGCGCTATCGAATCTAATTACACACAGAATTACGTCTACACTGTCAGATATATGCCTCCGCCCATACCGCCCTACGATGCACCTGGATCGCAGATCGCCAGCTTACCTTTAGAAAATGCAACAAGTGAGGAGGTGGAGGAACAGCGAGCAAATTATCATAATCCTTCCCCTTTCTTCACTAGTCGCCGTCCTCGCCTCTTCTCACTGAGTCAGCCTTTCTACAATACTCTTCCTTCCCCGATGAGTATCTTCAATAAGCGTCTAATTCGTTGTTCTATGCCACTGACATTTATACCTTGGAAGTATTTTTGCCGCAATGATAAATCCAATATTTCTTGTGTCACCATTTTTTTAAATATTTTATATGTTATAATTTATGGGAATTTGATATTCTCTTTTGAAAATCGTCTTATTATTCTTTTCTTCTAATAACTACGAAATTAATAATTTGTGACCTACGTTTTGTTAGATATGCAGAGCAGGTACATTTACTTTTTTGTCCGCCATGTTTTGATATGCTTCGGTATTTTTTTGTATTTCTTTAGATAGTTTTACATACTCGCTCTGGAGTGCATCGGGGTGGACGACTCAGCCATGTAAAGATGTTCCTTTTTTTTTTCTAACTTTCTTTTGGGCTTGGCACACGACAATCGACACAAATTTGAAATTAAAAACTGGTCCTCATTATTTATCCTACTCACTACCCTCTTCAACGGCTATCCTCAGTGGTTCTCGTTACTGGCCTTCTTTACTGGTTCAAGGAATTAAAATACTATTAGACACTTTCCCTCAGCGTCAATCGAAGAAAAGTGAACAAGCAAAAACTGCAGAAACGAAATTGAGATTAGATGTTATTATCACAGTTTACCAGCGGAAGTTTCGCCACCTGGATCGCGACTCGTGCAGGGGGTTCTTCGGGGAAAACTACAAACAGAAACAAATGAGACATGAGAGAAGCGTTAATTCACTTACGAAACAAATACGCGAGAAAGCTTAGAAGTTAAACAATAAACTACACGGACAACAAGCCTGCCAAAACACGTTTCTTCGCACATGGGAGAAAGAGTAATCATGTGTGGAACGTGATCACCTCACACGTGTGTGACGAACACGACAAAGCTCTATCACACCCGATCATGTCCGACGCGTGTCATGCCTTGTGTTTGCTTCGTCTGATCTGGTTATGCTAGGAGAGCTATGCAGTCGCACAAGGACGCCGACAGTAACCGGAAATGGTGTGTCCTTTCCGCCCTCGTGTGTTGTTGACGCCTGACAACTCATGATCGTTTCTCGGTAAGGAGACATTCCATTTCGTGTTATGACCAAGCCGGCTTCTTGCACCGGGACACAAGTTCCACCTCTCAGTCAAACTCTCTCAGTATAAACGGTTCAGTGTTTCCTCGACCCATGAAAGAGTTAAATATAAAAAAATAGAGTTCATTTTCCTAAAAAACGCGCGTGAAAATGCAGCAGTCCCCCTTTTAACAAAAGGGTTCCAGATTTGGCTTTGGCGTCTATTTCTGAAATTGCTTTGTCATATATGTGAACCATGATTCTCAAACCAATACTCTTCAAAGAGAGTCGTCCGTATTGAAAACCTAACTGCAGTGTGAAAGGAAATATTCCTGATTACCGTATTGGTATTTGGACGGCAAACTCCACACCGTGATTTAGGTACTCTGCTACCAATGCATTTCGAGTTCCGTTTCTACGCTTCTTTAAAACTCCCAATGTAATCTAGGGTACGCCAATTTTTTTCTATATTATACCGTTTTGCTGCGTGTACCTGCGTCTTTTGTTTTCTAACGCTCTTTTTTTTCAGTCACTTTGGAAGGTTTTTTTGTTTTTTTTTTTACTTACACTCGGAGTAAACTTTGTTCATTTCTCCAGCTTCCTTTAAGTCTGCCAGGTACACGGTGCACTTCACCACTGAAACAAAATGGCGCTAGTGTTGAGAATTTTGCAACAAAAGAATGAGACACAGACTAAGCCCCCTTCCCAGAAGCAAGCGAAAGTGCACAAGTATTAGAACTACATGATTATACCCCATCGCTAGTTATATTTATGGTTTAAAACACTTAAGATAAAAATAACGCCTTTGACTAATTGGTATTCCATTTGCTGATTATTCGATGCGCTCTTAAACCTTTGGGATCCCACCTTGCGTATAGACCATTCCATTTAGCGCTCTCTGGGCGGCACCATTTTGTTCGACCGCAGCGCCCTCTCCACACATCCGGGAAGTTCAGCGGGTTCGGCGGGGTAAAACCAGAGTGAGGGCACGCGCCCGACTCCGCTAGTAGACGACAAACCGGGAGGTTGCCGTTCTCCATCTTTGGGCTGTATCGGCGGGCTGTACCGAACATCGAACTCTCGCTCGTGGCTGCCGTTGTGAAGTGGTACGCGTTCTTAGAATAGTTGTGGCTACTCCAAAATCAGCTATATAGCTCTCTGTTGTTCTAGTTGGGTAAATGATCAACTAGCATATCTTTTTTCGTTAATTAAATAGCAGTTGAGTCAGCCGGCAGTACTACCCTCAACTACTGCGTGTATTGCGGCAGGAGAGCAGGTTTTTATTTATTATTTCAGACTTCTACTCATGGTCGCTAAAGGCCTACACCAGTACGAGCTTTTGTACAGTAAAAAAGGTACAGCAACCGGAATTTCTTTTTGCCAAAGAGACCGGCCAATCTGACATGGTTTTCCCTATTTTTTTTTTTTTATTTGCACGCAGGTAACAGCGCAATTGGACCCTGTGAGTCTTTTTATCTAGCATAGTGTTACACAATGACTGGCATACCAAAATCAGCGCATCTGCGCTTGAAAGTTCCAAAATGACTCGATTTTAAGCAGAGTTTGCACGCCAACCGGACGCTAGCTATAGCCCACTGGGCGGAGCGGACGATATGCGGGGTGAGAGGGGGAGTGCAATTTTTTCTTTTTTACCCTCTCTGCTATGACCTTAATGGAACGGTCTATATCTTGCAGCAACAAAATTATTAGTAAAAAAAAACAACATTGATATGCCTTTTAATAGAACTTCCAAAATTCTATTGGTCCTCGACTAATACCCACCCGGCGCTTTGACTATGCACGTTCTCAACCACAATTTTAAGCTTCACCTTTTTAAAAGAAAGCAGATTGAAATGTGGCGTGAGTTTAAAAATGATGATTCCTTACCGTTTTTGTAGTTCATTCTTCCTTTTTCCAGCACATTTCCCAGCATTGTGAGGACCTAAAAAGCAAACAGACAAGCTAGAAACCTTCCTTGAAGTGCAACGTAACAAACAGTCATTTCGAGTTGTTGGTGCAAATACTACTTCATGTATAAATTATTCGAGTTTTAATATAACGTCAGTCATGGATCTCGATACAAATGCCGAGTTCACCTTAATAAATGCAAATATGTATCGGACAAAATAATTTTGAGTTAAAGAGCAGTGTAACGATTTATGGAGTTCGGCTTAGTACCTGTGGGCGTAGGTCAATCGACATACGACGACTGCGATTGGATAGAAGAGGAAGAAGCAAAGAACTGGGCGCGTGTGATTGGTTCTCTCTCAATTCAATGTGCTACGGTCACATTCATTTAAACGCAGACAAAGCTTCTACAATAAAGGACAGAAAAAACATCTCTGGTGGAGTGCGCAGTTTTTGCTTTAAAAATCCCTTGCAAAGAAAGCAGTTTTTTTTTCCTTGTTTTTTTTTTTTTTAACAGTCCGGTTGGGACACGCTTGTCGAGAAATTAGTTTTGCCGAGAATAATTTTTTTAGAGTAATATTGACGGCGAGAGATTCATTTGAGATTCTGCGTGAAGTCCATGACGAAACGGAATGGTCATTCGCTCTTTCGACCTCAACGTGAAGGTGAAACCGATCCACTTCTCCTCCATGCGCCCGAAATAGCGGGAGACAAAACAAGTAGAAAGGAGGGAACTACCGATTAAATCAAGTCTCGAGCCATCAATATTTTTTTTTCGCCTAAAATTATTTTTTTACACGCATGTCCTAACTAAACTGTCTAAAAAAAAAAGAAGAAAAAAGCATTTTTTTTTTAGGGTTTGTTTAAAGGAGCGAAATAGATTTACATTTTCATGCATCCAAACTTTTACAACCCCATCCACGTCACGCGTGCAGTGACTTGCTCTGGGGACACGGAGAACTTCTGATTGTGTTCTTTCCTTAGGGCCCTCAGCGAACACTGTGTGGTGTAGCGAGAACTCACTCCGCCAGTGTTGTCGAACGTCCTGCGTTATTCGGAAGTTTCTGCCTTAAATCAGAACACTTTTGCAGCTTTAAAGGAGCCGTGCCACGATATTGGTTTGGAATGTTTCTCACTTTGCACAAGCTTACTGGCATGAGAGGGACCCAAGTACTCGCCAGCGAGGATCGACACTGACAAAAAAGCTTCTTCGTTGCCGCTTGATTTTAATTAAGAAGAAAAGGAAATTTTCCCTTCGGTCTCTCCTTTGCAAAACTTGACAACGAAGGCGTGGGAATCTGTTGGTTATGAGCACTGCGTGATCATTCAATTTGGGAGCATGACAGTTAATGGATCGACATCCATTTGCGCAGTGGCTTGTGCCAAATCACTGGAATGAGGGGAATAGCCGAACCTTAAAAAAACGCTTATTTCCCCCCCCCCCCCCCCATATATATCTTTGTTTTGCCAGGCGATTTATTGTGCTGTCAGTAGAATGCCCAATAAATGTTTTGCTACAGAGTCACGTATATTTTATTAGAGCTAAAAACGGAACTACTCGAAACCGAAAGTGAATCATGAGTACCAAACTCATGGCCGCGACATGTGAACGATGTAGATCGAGGAGGAGGAAGAAACGTAAAGGAGGAGAGAGGTGCCGGAAGTCACGTGGCTACACCCGACTTCGTTTGATTTTTCTCCGTTTCCCCGGTCGTGCGAGGCACACGACGGCGCCGCGTGCACCAATTGTCGCGCAATGGTTTCGGACTTCTATCTGTTGCGATCGCTGTTCTCTGCTTGAAGACCTATTCGCCCTTGTGTCGGTCCGTCATGCCTCGCCATTCTGTCGTTCAGCCCCGGGTACGTCGCCATATTGAGAAGGACGTAGAACATGTACTTCCCGTGATGTGTGGAAAATTTGTTTTCAACCAACGTATCTGCAGCTTCTTGAAGCAACAAAAAATGCGTTTAATTATTTTTTTACTATTTTTCATATCTAATGTGTGTCTTAGGTGACCCATGACTTCGATTATATTTGTTATGGGTTACTGAACGGCACGTGACCGTGGTGACCGTGGCACGTGACCGTGATAGTGAGAGCGACTCAAACCAGTCAGTCCTTGACCGGCGATTTTTGGGAGGAAACAAAAAAAGAAAACGAATTTTGAGCAGCAAATCGTGTTTTGAGTAGCTGGGGTCTCGTATGGCATGTGCTAATAAAAACCTCGGCGAGCACAATTACCCTGTCAGTGTCTCCTAAAGAAATGTTGGAACTCAGCCAGTGCCTTGTGCTTTGCCAACCGATGATAAACATCGGCCGCATATAATCGGCCACAAATCACGTGACGGCTCGTTCTTCATTCATGATTCATGTCACGATTACAGAAAGTAAAAAAATTGTTGCGTCGCTCCTTTAGCGGTCGCGACAGAACAGCACAACCAGTCGGGATCGCCGCTGTACCCGGAGCATGGCCTATCTGGGAAGAGTACGGAAACACAGGAGTCAACGCCTTTTCCTCCGTTACGTCATGCAAGCAGCAGATAGGGCTTGGTTTTGGTGACTCCTGGTAGATGGCATCACCAATGCCTCGTCTCATAAAACCTTAGTCACAATAATATTACGTTGACGTATATCTATTTGCGATTGGAGGCGAAAATGTATAGGTCAAATGGCTTTAAAGTGAGCAGATAATTGCATAACTTGCTAATTCACTACGACGTACATCTCGAGGACGTCACTGCATGGTTTTCTCGTGGTCGCCATACGCAACTGCACATCGAGAAGTCGAACTTTTTTTTCTTTACCTTTAAGACTCGGCTTTAAAGCTGCAATATTACCGGAAAGCCTTTTTTTTATAGTTGTGTACATAAAATAGAAGTAACACTCAACAGATTCCTCCGAGATTAAATTTTATAGACTGCCGTGTTAGGGTGTGCCGGCAAAACAACATCAGAGAAGTTAGATCATTTTTAAATACGACATTCTAACTTTTTTGTAATATGCGCAACAGATTCCATCCTACCTAAAGAACAGATATATATATCTGTTCTTTATGTCAGGGGTCTGTAAGGGGGAATAACAAAACAAATTAAATATATATATATATATATATATATATATATATATATATATATATAATTTTTTTGTTATTTAGTCATTATGGCAACTATATTATGACCGACGTAAACCCCTGACATAAAGTCTGCATTTTGGCACATACCATTCCTCGGTAAGAGCAAACGTAATATACGCTTTATTTACACCGTTAGACACAGCTTAGATGGAGGTCACGACCCGCTTACAGCCCCACCCATTACTACTTGATTTGCTTGGCTGCTCCGGTCTGGTGCGTCTAGTCTGGCACCTGACACCGTCTGCTCGTGGTGCGAGCAGACGCTTGGCAGTCTCCGGCATCGTCTGATATTTTACCACCGCCTATAGACCTGTATCTCTCAAGTTTTGAACAGCGCCCCTAGCGAGAAACATCGGATAGTTTTAGGTCGCGTTTCCACTATGTTTGGCGTTTTGTCCTTTCACACGCCCTCTTAGTGCGCGTGAACAATGAGCAGACGCCGAGGGAAGCTGACAGACGCTAATTTATGCCCGTGGAAGGTACAGTGCGCCTCAAACTTAACGCCGCCACGAGATGGTTCGGTTTCTTCACTTTTTTGAGCTATTCCTGAACATAGCAGTCAAAATGGTTGGTGAAGATTTGCGTCTTCGATGAAAACTTAACCAGGGGAAGGTATTCCAGCAGCTGCAGCGATCAATTCATGTTTGGGTAGCATGCAATAAAATTGAATGGATCAATATTTGCGAAACCGAGTGGCGGCGTTAAGTTTGAGGGGCACTGTACATGATGGGACGCTACGAGGCCGCTTCAAGTCAGCATTAAATGGTCGCGTCTCGCGGACGCTAGTGGAGGTGACTCTTTCGTGGTCGCATCTCGTGAACGCTACGGCGCCCCCTGGCCGAGATAAACAGGCCTATCGTCGTCTCCAACGCCCGAAGACGTGTCCACGAAAGCGACGCGTCGGCTTACGTTTTCGCCAGCGTGCGTCTGCTATTCCGCGTCTATCTTAAAAAAACGTCCGCAACACTCGTAACTTCGCGACTACGAAAGCGGCGTTCTAGCGTTCCATCATGCGCCAGCCACTCTTCAATACAAGTGTCTGTCAGCTTCCGTTGATGGGGGATAAGAAGCGACAGAGAGAAAAAAAAAACAACAAAATAAATATGCAGTTTTTCCAGATCTTCTGTTCTTGGGTTTTTCTTTTTCGCGTGGTATCCGCGAGCAAGACGAGTGAGTGTCATAATGCACGACTAAAACGTGACCAAAAATATTCACTTTGGCAAGCCAGGCGCGCTGCAAGACATGAGAGTTACTTAAGTCTTTGAAGCGAATTGTCAAAAACATACATGTTTAAATTTCATAAGGGACGAACGCCCGATAGCCTCCAGCCAAATGGCTCGCGAACTCTTTTCTGTGTAGGTATCTTTCCGGTATTAAAACCATGGTCGGAATCGAAGCTTGCTCAATTAACAAAGCAGCGGGGCAGCTTTCACGGGAACCCACATTTTTATTCAGCATCAACACGCGCAAACGAACATATCAAGCCATGATCGAGCAAAATAGCCTTAAAACCTTTTCGCCAATTGTGTGTTTCACAGGAACTTTTTTTCAGTAAAATTACAGGTCCCACCTCTCTTTTTGTAAAAATAGCGCCAAAAAACTTGACAGGGTCAACGGCGGACGGCGACACAGACGACCGAGTCGATTGGCGAGGCGCGTTTGGCGCACGTATTGATAGATGGCGCTACCCACTTGTTCCGGATTGCTTTTAAAAAATATCGAGACTGGCCGTGACGACCGTGGTCTATTAAAATTTACATAATCTTTTTCTAATGTACTTTTGGTTGCAAAATAAATCCGAACAATAAGAGCAAAACTTGAAGCAACAAAGATAATAGAAAACGCGGTTACATGACGACTGCGCTCCTGCTGCCGACAGATTTCGTCTGCATTTCGTCTGCTTTCTTTCGCTGGTCGGCTACACCTACCGAAGCTGCTCCCGAGGCCCCAAACGCTCCCCGCCACTCTATTCGGTCGTCTGCGTCACTCTCCACCGTTGACCCTGGCAAGTTGTTTGGCCCCATGTATTACAGAAAGGAAGCTGCGCCTTGTAATTTTACAAGGTAGAGCCCACCTAGGAAATACATCTTTGATGAAAGGTTTAAATTGCTGTGTGCAGGTGCCGATTTTTACTGCGTATTTTAAATCGCACCTCGGCATTTCAGATTGTGGACGATGGACGCTAGGCTCAGGCCAGTCCAGCTACGAAAACAAGCAGCCGCGCAGCGCTTCCGAAGACTTGTGACAGTTGTTTGCTGCAAACTAGGTCGGTTGAGAATATCTTCCTCTAAACACCTCGGTGAACTCAAAACGACTCGCACTCATAAATGTAAAAAAGCTCAACACTACGCTCGTTGAACATGGCGCAAGCGCGGCAGCCATGTTTGTTATCGTTGGAAACCAAAGCAGAAGGGAAATCACTGGATATTTTTGAAATAATAAAGACTCTATCTAAGTTGTGTCTCTCAAACATTAAAAGAAAGTCGATAAAAAACTATTACGGTACGAAGAAACCATTTTAGAAGGAACATTTCACACGCCAATCAACTCTCCAACCAACGAGAGGCCAGAAACAGAACTAAGCTAGCCAACCACATTTCGTTATGGGCGCGGTATAAAGCACAGCTCCCCCCGCCCCCCGGTTTTATTGGGTCTAATAACATAAATATTGCTAAAACTTGTTTGTGAAAAAATGGTTAAAAATTGTGTGCCCCATTCAAGCTCTAAAAAAAATTCTTTTAATATATATTATTCCATCATGATTTTTTTTTTTTCGTGTTATTATCGGGTAATATGCAGAGTTCGCCAAGCAGTGCGTTTGTTAAGCTGAAAGTGACAATATAATATATCTAGGGTTCTGAAGGGCTTGCCGCTCGTGTCTCGGGAACGATTCCACCGGAAACCAGAGAGTGAGTCTCCGGATTAATGCCCAGCTGGCCCGAGATGTACATGGTGTCTCCGACTCGAATGGCAGCACTGTGGACAAAAACAAAACATTCTCCGCTTAAAAACAATAGCGTAGGTTTCTCCGTACTTTCGCTAGAATCAAAGAAAAGGAAATACTGCAAGACCATATGTGCAGATACTATTTTTTTTTTTAAGTGGTGTATGAATTAGTTGCAGGCTTTCATCGAGCCACTGCTGAGAATACAAAACGTTCTGGATTCTTTTCGAATCGCCGACAGTTTAAGAAACGTGGGGAGATGTTTATTATGGTGACCTTTGATTATCTCTTTGCGATTCGTTCGTCGGCGTTCCCATCGGCCAATGGCATAATCTCACAGGCACTCGAGCGATAATAAGATGAACGATAGTAAGGTAGCCCTTTATCGTTTCTTAAGTTTTATGCGACTAGAAACATTGATTCTTACCTGATCGGGTAGGTCGACTTGGCGGGGATCACTTCACGAGTCATCTTCGACATTTTCCTCACTAAACCGACGCTTATGCGAAGAAAAAAGAAAAGGTTATAGACGTGATAGCAAAGTGCCAGATATATTTGGCTCGAAGATATCTATCGAGCCAGTCTTTGTGAACTAGATAATAACTCTCAGAAATTCTAAATGAGAAGAGACGGGTCAAAATAAGATAAAGGTGTTGTAAAAGTAGAATTGAGGATCAGATTAACTGCAATCAAAGAGGGGCCGTAGATGTCGCAGCTATTCTTTTACGCGAGCTATAGCAGCGGGAAAATGCAGACAAGTGCGCGCTGTGAAACGTTGGTCTTGTCGAAGTTAGCCAGGTGTTGGCTTTCCGCTCTAGGAAGGCACATGCGTACAAAAACAAGCTCCATCGGTAGCTCAGCTTTACCGTATTTCTCGGATTCTAAACCGCGGGAGTAAATTTCGGGTGAAAAAAAAATGTTTTCAATAGGTTCCTAATAAGCACGCAAAACAAAAAAAAAAAAAAAAAACACGCATGGTCTGCACCTCTAGACAGTACACGCCGCGTAAAAATTTTAACTTGACTTTTAAGCATGTGTAGTGGGGTGGCCAGTGTGCCCAGATTTGTGAGTGCTTCCAACCGCTAGATCGGGTTCACGTGGTTTGTGGGCAGTGCCTGCAACACAAGGTGCGAGGAGGGTGCGAAAGTGTTGATAGTCTGCCAGCGCCTCCAAGTTTAGCTCAGCCTCCCTTCCCGCTATACTCCTAGCCAGGCGTCAATGCTGGCATGCGTATTAGCATGTCTCGTACGGGTTACTTGAAAACGACATCGATTAAAATTGCGATTGGTCTTCGTTAAAAAGTATTCGATCTGATTACTCGAGCACTTTTTGACAGGAAAAACAATTTGAGCGTTAGTTGAAAACGTAACCGTTAAGCCTTATTCGCATGGTGCGATTTTAGTTGCGATTTTGCAGTCGGGGACGTCGCTCGCACGGCGAAGGAAAAGCGTGGTGGAAGCTGCGCGATGTTTACCGCCGCACTTTCGAAATCGAGAGTAAAATAACACCGGTGAATCGGGCTTTACCGTGTTCCGAATTACTTTAGATTTTCAGAACCAAGACGTTTTTCGGCCGGTTAGAGAATTGGCTTTTCGTACCTTTAGTAATTGAATTAAATCGCCGCAATAAAGGCCGATTCACTGTGCGCGATTTTACTTGCGATTTCGCAGTTGCGACGCGGTTCGTACGGCGGAAAAAGCGTGGTAAAAGCTTCGGCTAGCTGCGAAATCGCAAGCAAAATTGCACCAATGTGAATCAGGCTTCGCACACTACTTATCGTCTATATCTAACGATTTTGGTGGATCATCCCCGTGTCGGGGACTTTATCCGGAGAATTCTTGGTAGGAAACTTCTGGAAACAAAGAATACCTTTAGAAATGGGATGAGACAATTAGTAGCGTCTACAAGTAATTTTAGGACTTCCAAAAGTAGTCAGATTACTCTCGCGATTACCGTCTAATAAACGTAAACTAAATTATAACAAAAGTACTCCGAAAAGCAAGGGATTGCAAGTAATTGAATTACTTGTACTATATACCGCACAAATCTGCACATCATCAAACATGTATGTCCAGGAGGTGCCCGCCGTTAAATTGCAAACGCCCTCTATGCTTTGAGTTGCTCCCTCTCCTGAATCTAGGCTCTCTGAAATTCACTCTTGTCTATAACGCCGCAGCGACAGTCTTTCTGGAGCGACGGTGGCATTGTCCTCAACAAGTCAGTAGAACAACAAAAGAAAGTGGCGCCACTCGTCAAATTTTGTTTTTCTGTACAACGGCGCCAAGCACCGGCAACGCCGCGCGGGACAAAATTTAAAAACAAAAGACCTGATATACTTTGTTTTGTAGCCGCACATGTAGAGTTATTAAAAAAACTACAAAATCGCGGGAAAATTCTGGATTATAACGCAACCTATTTTTTCTACGTTTGGTGCACCTACATAGGGCTAAAGCACCCAAAGCTTCCATCAGTCGAGATAATGAAAACAAAAAACAGACAATTTCACGTAATGTAGCTAGCCTCTTTATTGTAAAATTATAAATGGTATCTGACCTAATAATCAAACGCTACCATATAACAAAACACTGACTGATGATTTTGCTTCTCGGCTAAAAAATTTATAAACCTTCGCATGTGATGCTTTCATTAAATATACATTTTGCGCTTAAGATAAATTAATTTCACGCAATAGCCTCAAATTTCTCAAATATGTTCTATGAACTCAATACGAAGAAAGAAAAATACAAACAAGGAACAGAACGCAAACAGGGGAAAGAAATTCGGTTCAATTTCTTATAATGTATTAAAGCCTAGAATTAAGAAAAAATGTTTAACTTGTATCTTTGTGTAGGAGCGAGTCACAAGTCAGTTTTCAACCACCTGTGACAGTACTTCACATTTTCTCAACAAGGTCGTTACCAATCAATTCTAGGGCTGGGCGGTGATGAAACGTTTTAATTTTACTAATGGCTACAATTTTATCAATTAATTATCATATTACTCGGTTGCATTCAATTAAGGTATATTGTAAAGCAGGGTTCAACTGCGCCCAATGTTTTCAATATTTCTTGATTTGTCATCAATTACGAAATGTACCCGTCACCTTATTTGAATCATGACGGTGCCACCAACCACAAAAGGAAAACACAGGCAAGCAATCTTAAAGATTAATAGTTTGGCATTAATATTTAGATCATATAATTACTCTGGATGACAATCATAGGTAAAGCTAAAGTTATTTACCTTGAAATACAACAGTGTTGCCTTTTAAAATGACTAAATGGGCACCGAGAAGTGAAGTAGGCATGTTTACTTTTTCCTAAAAATGTTTAGCTCAGAACCCTTGCGATTAACCGGTTAAAATATTAATCGCGATTACAACAATAATTGATGAATCGATCAATTACCCAGCCACAATGAATCCATAGACGTTTTCATAATGGCTAACTGAAACAACTGAGTTTGTACAACAGGAAACGGTTGTATATTTTATCGGACTCTAAAATATGCTTGAAAAATAGCATGCACTTCGCCTTCCCTATGAACAGTTGAAAACAATGTTCATTCGAAAAGGACAGCAACTATATTGCTCCCCTCTTGTTTTTTCCACTACAAGCGGCGGTTCTAAATAGATTATTTTGCACCGCTAAATTCTTGGATTTTACGAAAGACGTCCTTTTCGTGGTATAAAGCGGTTTCATGTGACGCACTTGCGGAGCAAACTCTCGCCGGACGCCATGTTGATGAACAAGGCGTCCAGCGAAGAAACCAATGGGAATAAGCTTTATTTCATGTAACCGAAACACGTGCCCGATCATACTTATCGAGTTCTCTCCTCCACGGAGTTCTTCTCCGAGGTTCAGTAATTCATCAGCAACAAAAGCAACTCCAACAACTATAAGCGTCGGTGTGTCAGCGAATGACGAAAGCGGCGCTGTTCATCAACGTGGTGGCACGCGGCTTATTGGAAGGGAAAGGGCGTCTCGTGGAACCGCTCTATTGTCATATTTCCTCCTTTGAGAAGTCATCTTCAACAGAAAATGTTAACACTCGCACTTTTTAATACATTCCGTGGTTGGCACCAAATTGTGGTACAATCCGAATGGTTGCAGCGTCGGCGTTAGCGGAGAAGCATTTAGATCAAAGTGGAGCAAGCTGAGTACACAATTAGCGTTCCGGAACAGAAATGTCCGGCGTGAGCTTTAAGAAACAGTCTAAAAAAGCACGCCCTCCAAGTACAGGATTACTGTTTAGTTTCTTTTCGTCTCTGATGTGTTGCGCGCCCAAAATGTGAAAATCGTCCACGGCCCGCACATGGATTCACAACTCATCTTTCACGTGACCTACTGCAACGCGAACCAAACCGACGAGGTTCAAGTTAACAGCAATCAACATGGAATCGTCAATGCTGCGATTCTAATGAAAACAATGGCGACGGAAAGTGTGCACGTACGCGCTGAAGGGGGTTGATCTCGTCCATGGCAGGCAGGTGCAGTTTTTCCGACACACAAACGAGGTGTCCTACATGTATGAGCTCTATTGGTCGCTTAGTACGAACTAGTGTGCCAAGATTTGAGAGTGATTTCAATTGCTCGATTGTGACCACGTGGTTTTTGTTCCCACAATGCATTACATGGTGCGAAAAGAAGGAGAATGAGTCGATCGTCTACAAGCGTTCCGTTCATACCTTTTCTTATTCTGTTTTCTGCTCCACTTCGCCAAGCACTAGCAATTTCGTAAAGCGTTCCAAAAAAGACAAATATCAGGCCTGTTTTTTTTTATATTTTAGCCGCACATATGAAGAATAATAGGGACAACTGAAAATCTGGAGCAAATAATCTTTCATTACTCCGACCTATTTTTCGAGTTTTGTGGGCCTGATTTTAAAATTAATGCAATCAAGGTTTCCGTGGGTCAAGATAAAATTGAAACTTATAACGGACATTTTCACATCTTGCGGCATCTTTATTGTGAAATTCTAAAAAGCATCTGATCTAACTATTGCGTGTTTTAACATGATCAGAACATTGCCCGATGAATTTGCACAGCGTGGTAGAAATCTAACATTTGCACGTCATATGTTCTTTTACAAGAATGTCATCTGTTCCACTCGAGATTGATTTTTTTAGTTATCAAAACTAAGTGAAGAAGTGTAATTTGTTGTGCGAATGTTGGAGCCATAAACAGAAGTAATTCTCCTTCAAGTTTTAGACTTAAACTCGCTCTAGTCAGAAAAATAAATCCGTTTTCCAAGCTTGTTTTTCTAAAATAAGTCATTTTTAGCTAATTCACCGACACTTCTGCGTTATTCATCCTAACAAATCTGGTACGTCTACTTTCCTACGACGCACAACGGGAAGAGCTAACCACTTTATTCTACGCACGGAGATGGGCGAATGACGGGGCTGAAGATATGTTTCCAAGAAAAAACACTCTGCGCCGTTACACTAATCGTGAAGTTTTACGTGCTCACCTCACCACCATTTCACAGAGCGGGGGATGTCTTTTTTAAGTCGGAACATATTTCCAACCTCGCCTTTTCTTTCGTAGGTTCCAAGGATAGGTTATTACGAGTGCTTTGCAGAAAATATAAACGTGCTTTAAGAGTGTACATACTCTGAAAGTTCAGTTTGTAACAAAAACAAAAGGTTTATATACGTTATTAAAGCGCAAGCAAAATAGCACGCTCACAATCTTTCCTCTCGATTGCTCATACCTATTTTTTATGTAAATAAACAGCGACTATGCACTGCTGCCTGCTTGTCATCTTCAAAACAAACGCAGTTATAGGTAGTGTATTTCTCACCTTTGAATTCCACGAGAAACTCATTCTTCTAGTATCAATATATTTTTATACCTTTGACAAACTATACCCTCATAAAGAAAAGTAAACATGTGAGCCTTGGCCCACGTACCGTTGTTGCTGTAACACTGTGGCACAATATGCGTTTTTGACAAGTATCATTTACATTAAACTTTTCAAATTTCGATCACCTTTATTATCCCTTCTTATTCTATTGGACTTCAACTTAAGTCAATAGCCAACCAACGATTCACAAAGTTAGAAGCGTGAACATTAAAAACGACGCTCTCTGCTTCTTAATTTGTTAATAACTGTATGTATGCGGGGCGTACAATGCACAACATCGCCGAAGTTGGGAATAAAGGTAGCGCGCTGTAAGATTTTAGTTCATATTGAACTCTATGGTTGTGTTACTTTTGTTATGAGGGTCAGAAAGAAAGTGAACGATTTGTGAACAGATTTCGTTACTTTCGCCTTGTGGGCTTTATTGTTCGCGCATGGAGAGATGGGCGACCCAGAAATAAAACCGAATCCACATTTGGGGATTTCTTTTTTTTTTTAACAAATAAAAAATTAAAGAAGGTTTCAAAGTGGCCCCTCTTCGTGTGAGCGCTCTGCCTAGGTATACGCCTGCCGACTATAATAGTTGAACCTTTGTCACATACAGACAGCTCAGACTTTTGCCCGTTCGGGTTATACAAATATAATCTCAGAGAAAATGCGCTCTGCGGGAGCACTTAAAAGGAACGTTTGAAACACACTCAAGCAGAGCACTCGCTATCTTACACGAAAGTACGTACTCCGGCGTTTTTTTCCATGCAAGGGTCTTTTTGTATTGACACTGCAACGACGTCAGTTAGAGCCCCGCATTGTTTTTCTGGTTGCTCTTGGCAGAGCTTTATGAAGCGATGCCATGGGACGCCGGCGGCCAGCCAATCCGCGTTCGGACTCAGAAACTCTCTATCGGAGGTTTTATAAAAGATTGGCAGCGACCTTTTACATTCAAAGTGTTATAATGCATGAAATGCATTATAGGAAATTTGTGAAGGAATTGATACGTCAATTTACCCTCTAAATTTAGCGGGTAATTGAATTGGTGTATAGTTCACATGACGTCTAATTTCCGCGAAATTTAGCAGGGAAGTTGAATTGATGTTTTGGCCACAAGATGTAAATTTACCCGCTAAATTTAGCGGGAGAAAACTGAGTTCACTTTATATGTCACGTACCGTCCATTCCCCCAAGGTGTACAGGTCACGTGACGTCACGTGACGCCGCTTTACCAGCTAAATTTAGCGGAAAATGCACAGACGAAATTGGACGAAATGGACGGAAGAAACTGGGGGGGGGGGGGGGGGGGGGGGGAGGGGGGAGGGGGGAGGGGGGGGAGGGGGGGCGGTGTAGCGTTCCAAAACATTTCACGCTTTAAAAGAGCCACTGAGAGTTTCAGGAATGTAGGGAACGGAAAAGTTCGGAGCATCTTTGTAATCGCTCCCAGTCAATGATATTGAAGCATATAAGCCGATAAAAAGGCCGATGTACAAATCTCAAGGAAAGAAGAATAAAAATATTGTCCACACCCCTCGTTAGTTAAATCTTGTATAATTATTAAATTAAAGTTACTGACAGCTTAAGAAACACGGGGCGTGATTAAATTGGGGAGTTTTAGAGAACCGTTTTTGCACATCCGATCTGGTACGATGGGCCCTCCGGTACGCACTGCGCATGGGCGAGTCTTCTGCGGTTGCGCATGCGCAGTTCGTACCTGACCGCCCACCGTAGCGTACCGGATGCGCTTCTTGCCTTGTGATTTTCCCTCTCTGCGTTCTTATCAGATACTGTCATTCGCTACGGAGCGATGATGAGATCCGAGGACTCGCCACATACTATGCAGTTCTCAAGTTTTGACTTGATGCATTCCTTCAGCACCCACAGAAGAATTAATAGACTATTTGACATGACATTTGTCATTGGTAGTTTCCTGTTTAACGAATCGTTGTTTTAAATAGCTGCGTTTGAAGAAATCAAGCATCCGGTAAGTATAAGAATGATGGTTTATTTCCATTGAACTCTGGTTGACAGCACTAGCTCAGACTTCTTAAGCAGACAGCACAATATATGTAATCTATTCACGGCACACGTGGATTCACATCTTCTTGTCCTTGGAGAGATTGAGAAGCCAGCCATGCTGAGAAGAAATATTCAGTCGCTGCAATCCACTGCGATGGCTTCAATACACACACGGGCGTCCTGGTGTAAAACAACGCAACGTTGGAGGAATATCTACCTTTTTTATCATCGGAAACAAGACAGCGCACTACTTGCTACCATGACTTGGAAAACAAAATTTCACAAATCACAAATGTCGGCAGATAACATTCTCACACAAAATATCACGATATGCTATAATTTACTTCCAATGTTGCTAAAAGTCAATGCCACACAAAAACAAAGATCAAATTATTAATCTTAGCAAGCTTTCTATTCATATTGACAAAATTAGTTTCGACAGAAACAGCGTTAACCGTTCGCCACATTAGTGCTGTCTATCTTCTACACGTAAATTTGTTTTGGCTTTAAGTTTCTTCTGAAGTTTATTAACTTATTCATTTCCTTAAGAAGAAAAAAAACGTGCTGAGAAGGGATATTTAGTCGCTGTAATCCACTGCGATGACTTCAATTGACACGCGGGCGTCCTGGTGTAAAACAAAGCAACGTTGGAGGAAATCGAACTTTGCGTATCACTGGAAAAAAGCCAGTGCATTACCTTCTACCATAACTTGAAAAGCAACGTTCACAAAGTACAAATGTCGGCATATAACATTCCCACAAAAACTATAACGTTGTGCCATAATTCACTTCCAATGTAGCTAACACTTAATGCCAGACAGAAACAAGGGTCAAATTATTAATCTACTCCCTGAGGATCATGAGTCCCTTATCACTCACCTTCGTCAACGACGATCCTCAATGGTTCTCATATCACTGGCCCTCAACACTCTAAGAAATGCCTGCGCGTCAACTTGCCCGCAAAACACTCAAAGAGCCAATCTCTGCGATCTAGGAAATCAGCTCAGCGAATGATGAGGCGGAGCATCCGTTTAGACCTAAAAATGAAGTCTGCGCTGTGGCATTACGCAATGCGAAGCGTCATGATTGCATTGCGTAATGCTACAGCGCAGTCTTCATTTTGAGGTCTAAACAGATGTTTCGCCTCATCATTCGCTGAGCTGATTTCCTAGATCGCAGAGATTGGCTCTTCGGGTATTTTGCGGGTAAGTAGACGCGCAGGCATTTCTTAGAGTGAATACTGACAGAACTGCTTAAAAGACAATCGCTAGCTGGAACTCTTAGTGAATGACAAAGTGGGAAGTGTGAAAACCCTGCTGACAAAATTAATGAGATTAGACGCGATTTCCACTGTTTACCTTTGAAAGACTCGCCACCTGGATCGCCACCCGTGCAGGGGGTTCTTCTGGGAAAACTATAAACAGATACAAAATCAGCACAGTAGCTTGATTATGCTAACAAAACCTAGGTACATCGAATCTGCTGTGAATGGGCTGGGCAGATATAGTGTGTGTGTGTGTGTGTGTGTGTGTGTGTGTGTGTGTGTGTGTGTGTGTGTGTGTGTGTGTGTGTGTGTGTGTGTGTGTGTGTGTGTGCGTGCGTGTGTGTGTGTGTGTGTGTGTGTGTGTGTGCGTGTGTGTGTGCGCGCGCGCGCGCGAGCGTGTGTGTGTGTGACGTCAAGTCACATCGTGACGCCACAGAGTCATGTGACGTCACGATCGTTCCTGGCGATTCTTCGAGACGATTCTTCATAACGGTTTTCTCATTGAATTCGGCTGAACCGTTCTGTGTTAAATATACAATTGGCCATTGCACTGAAAATTTTCAGATGTATCATATTATGATTCGAATATTAAATCCTGAGAAAGACTTACAATGTTGGTATTATCGCACTTCGATTTTCTAATTAATTCTGTAATCAAGCCTATTGTGCACAGAACATATTTTGGCATCTAAAGTTTCTATTCTTCTGTTTTTTGTCGAAGCAGGACAATGCATCGGTGAAGTGCCAAGATTCTATGAATGGCTGTACAAACAGCGTATCCGGTCGCCTAATCTGTCGAGCAGACGAGACGCGTCATATCTCATGTGTGTATTGTGAAGTATATAAAGTCTAATGGGTAGAAACAATTCCCGCCGAAAAGACAACTGTTGCGAAAGCACAAACGTTTCTGTTGAAAACAAACAAAAAAACGTTACCAGTTTAGTTAGTTTATCTAATTTTACATTATTTTGTGAAGTTTCTAAACCACGCTGTAAAACCAATTATTCTCAGACATCGTGCATCTTTTAAATCTAAGTGACTAACGAGCTAGAACCGCACATATTAACAGGGGCGTTCTGTATTTAATTGAAGCCGACTTGCACTACACGATTCTTGAAATCTACAACATAATCTATACTGTGCCGTAATATATTAACACTACACAGATCTTTCACGAGTATTTGAATGTTTTGTTTCCTCGTGCTTTTTTTGTTTGATCACATAGTATATTTTTCAAACTTACACTCTGAGTAAACCTTGTTCATTTCGCCAATCTCCTTTAAGTCCGCAAGGTACACCGTGCACTTCACCACTGGAAAAAACAACGACGCAACTTTTATAATTACACATCGCTTCTACGAGTACAGTGAGATACAAATTATATTATCTCAATGTGTAGTCATACACATGCAGAATACAAAAATATGGAAACAGTTTTATTTTTCATTCTGGTACATCAATGGTGGAAGCAAGGAAATTTTAAAAGCTATATTGAAATAACACGTTCCTAGTCCATCGCTAGCTTTAATATAATGTTTCGAAGTCCCCGATAAAAAAAAAATTGCTCTCACCAGTTTCCTACTCAGTGTATGACTATCCAATATACCGGGTGTTTGAGAGAAAAGTGAATCATTTTTTTCGGCCCGAGTTAATATAATATTCACCACAGAAAGCTGTAACTCAGTGAGACATTGACGCTAGTGAAGATGATAGACGGTGAAAGTTTGAGAGCACGAAGCTATCTGAATCCAAATATTAAACAAAAAAAACGGAAGTTTTCTAGAAGCCGACGTCACGCACCTAGCTGTGTTTATAGATTTGTGTTGGTTTTTTGCCCATCTTGTTTTCCTTCTGCAGAGATTATTATTGTTATTCCTTTCCACATCGATTGCACCTTTGCATTGATTGCATTATCATTATAGCCTAATATGCCGCCAGTGTTGATCATAGCCACGCGCTGGGGTTGGCAAAGCACACAGACACGCGCTGAGTTCCAGATATTGGTTAGGTTATTGTCGTGATTGCAGCGATTGGACACGGGCCACAACCCGAATGCCTGTCGAGCTATTGATTATCACGTGCCAAAATCGAGTGCTCGCGCAATGCTCGGGCCCACTCTATAAGCCGCATTCAAATGCCGTCACTGGGGGATGCTGCGACCCCCAGGCTACGTCATCAAGTTTGTCAAAGGGGAGATTAGAGGCAAACCCTCGCTTTTCTCCTTGAAATTACGCCGTAACCAAAGAGATTGTGAAAATGGGGGGGGGGGGGGGGGGGGGGGGGGTTCGAACTCTCCCTACCATTTTCTCCCCGCCCCCGCTTCCCGCGCCACATGCTTTGCAAATATCAGCTGATCTTCCAACATCTTATCTCCTTTGTGCAGGAATGTTTGTTGATAGGCAAAGCAACCACTAAAATTCAAAAGTAATTAACTTGAGTAGAAGTTACTAAAAAAAAGTAATTAAAGTAAGCTATTATTTACCGAACTAAAATATAATTGAAAGTTACTAAACTACTCAAAAAAGCAGTTAAACAACAGTAACCTGAGTAGAGTAGTTGAACTACGTACAAGTCTGCCTCACCATATGTTCCCCTTGTTTTCAAATAACTTTTTTTTGTAATAAACCCTTTTCTTTTTGTATAAATTACTTTTTTGCATAAATAAGAATCCATGACGGTGCATTCTACATAAGTTTAAAGGGTAAAAGTGCTGTAAAATGTTCACAGCGCCTGTTTTCTTGACAGCGTCCACATGCGTTGCCGTCAGGAAAATGGTGTTCTATATTCTCGCTCGCAGCATTCACGGTTGCGTGGAGGTCTCTTCTGTGATATATACGTTTAAAACAAGTGTGTCTGCATATGCACAAATTGGCAGTGTTCTCGCAAACATTTTTTTTTTTATTTTTGTGACAAGCGTTAACCTTACAGAAGAAGATATTCAAGCTATTCTTTTCGACTGCCCATGGTGGTATCGAATGTTCCGAGTTGGACAATTTGGATGATAACCATGTGGAAGCCCCAGTCAGTCGGGGTTCCTCCGACGAGTATTCATCGGACTCATCCGACACAGATGAACTACAAGTGCAGGAATCAACAACTGTGAAGAACAAGGTAGAAAAGACATGGCACTGGGTCAAAAAGACTTGCAACTCAATGAGGGCTTTCAGACAAGTGGAATAATTCCATGGGTGACGGCAGCAGAAGTGAAAACACCACTGAGTAGGTTCACTAAGATCGTTGGTGAGGATTCGATAGAACATCTCACGATTGAAGCAAATCGATATAGGATCCAGGAGTGCAAACCAAAGGTGAGGCTAATCAGAAGCGAGGAAATCAGAAAACTTATTGGGATGATTCTCTACATGTCTGTAGTGTCCTTGCCCATCAGGCGCATGGATTGGTCACGGTTGTTGCGCCATTCAGGAATTACCGAGTGCACGCCCCGTAATCGCTTCGATGAAGTGATTTCCTTGTTCCACGCCAGCAACAATGATCAGGAAAAAAAACAGGACGGCTATGACAGGCTCTAGAAGATACATCACATCCTTGACCCACTTAATAAGAAGTTTTGGCAAGCCGCAGAAATGGAGCCCTGCCTTGCAGTGGACGAGATGATGATATTTTTTAAGGGAAGACAAAGCCTGAAGGTTTATATATTGAAACAGCCGAAAAAGTGGGGTTATAAAGTTTGGACACTTGCTGGAAGGTTAGGCTCTGTCTATAAAATCCAGCTTTACGGTGACAGGTTTGTGGTTGGCCCAGAAGACATTGAAAACGAAATTGGTGAAAGTGAAAAGATTGAAGTGCGACTTACTGATGGCTGTGAGGGAAAAGAAATCTTCTGTGACAACTTTTTTGCCTCAGTTAAACTTCTAGCTGAAATGAAGCGCCGCGGGCTTGGATGCACTGCCACTCTGAGGAATAAGAGGATGGGGCGCTGCCCACTGAAGAACAAAAAGTCTCTTGAAGTCCGAAGTATGTAGACCGAGCTTGGTCAAAGACTACAACCAGAGTATGGGCGGTGTTCACCGAGCGGATCAGCTTCTTTCATTCTACCGAAATGAACTCAAGAGCAAGAAATTGTACACGAGGATCATTTTTCACCTGCTTGATCTTGCAGTTGTAAAGATCTGGCTCCCCTACCACGCGGTAAAGGGCTCCCCCAGCTGCAGGTTGCAGAGTTCAAGCTGCAAGTGGCAATCGGCTTGATGAAGGCAGAAGATGCTACTGAAGCAGACCTTGAAGACAGTCGGTTCAACACCCTGTCGTACCGAGCCTTGGGCATTCCAGATTCGGTGAGATACGAAGGTGTCACAGTGACTCTAGTGTCAACCATGTCTCGATCAAGGTCCCGCTAAAGAATGTGCCGCGATGAAAGCTGCCAACGCGCAACCGACGTAGCACGATGCAATGCAGGAAGTGCAGGGCATACCTTTGTATTGAAGAGGATTGACCACCCAACTGTTCTCAACAATTTCGAAAAAAGCGACCTGGTATTCCTGGCGTATACATATGTGTACTATCGTGGACACTGTTAGCTATAACACGGCAGCGGCGGCCGCCCCGTACCCCCAGCGCCTCATAGCAGGCGCCGTCCGAAACCCCGCGCATGCGCCGTGTGGTGGACTCGCTCTTCCCGCCTGCGAGCACACCCTCGCTTTGTCGTCTGCTGGGCACAGAGCAGACGACGCCACAGCGCTTGCCAATTTTCCCTGAACCCGGTTCAGCAAACCACCCCGTAAGAGGTGTCCACGGCTGATTCCCTGACTCCGCTGGCTAAGGATGATCATCGCCACTAATTGTAATATCACGGTAGACTACTTTTTTTCTTTTTTTATGGGACAAACTTGCAGTTATACTCCGTTTCACTTTAGGTCTAGGCGCAGCGGACGCTACGAGACGATAGGGCCAACCAAAATCGACAAAAGCTCACTTTTTGCACCTTATTGTGTACTCCGGTGATGCACTCCGTGACATTGCACCTTTGCCGCTATTTGATTGGCTATGTCGTTTTGTAGCGTACGCTGCATTCGGACTTTAGGTGAAATGGAATATAAGTCTATTTCTGTATCACACCTGCTGCACTCATACTGGTTTGCGAGCGAATATTGTGAAAGATGCATTGCGAAATCCTGTTTCTAAAAAAGCAAAAAAAAGAAAAAAAAAACGTAGACAGGGTTAATGCCCCAATGACTCTGCAATCTCCCCCAATCGAAACCGCCGGTTTAAAATGAGTTTGAGACCAGTTCGCTAGGGCCAGGGTACCAGACGAGCAGCACTGTGGCATCGACTGCTCAGCGCCTAGCAGACGACAAAGCGAGGGTGTGCTCGCAAACGGGAAGAGCGAGTCCGTCACACGGCGCATGCGCAGAGTTTCGGACGGCGCCTGCTATGAGGCGCTGGGGGTACGGGACGGCCGCCGCTGCGGTGTTATTCGCGACTCCAACTATAGGTGGCGCCACTCATCTACCAAGATGGCGGGTTTAGTGAGGGTCAGAGATGCGTGCCGCTGTTGAGCCTGTCTAGTGTGCTGGATTCACTGAGCGACATAAATTATTTCTGGTAATACGAGGAAGCTAATGTTTTATGAGCGCAGGTCACCTCTTTAACCTGAAAACAAGAACGGTGTTTAGCGTATTAATTACGGAAGGATGCGCGTTTTAAGTTTGGAGCGAAACCGAAACTTACCTCTATTTTGGATTTAATATCTTGACAGAGGTCTTAATTTCGGATTCTTTCATGACTCAAGATGTGTCTCATATCGTAATTATTTATTTAGAAAAAGTTGTTCGCGGAAACTGTATTTTGTGACGTACTGTTCGATCCAGGCTGATATTCGTAGTTGCTGAAGAAATGAGTGCTGATGTCTGTGCGTTCTCGCTGCCTTTTTCTCGCTCAGATAATTATCATGGTAAATAATGACAATTATCCCAGCACAAGAATAAGTGAATAATTCCAATTTTTGCAATATGTCCACGAAACGCATAAACTAATAAACGCTGCTCTCACTGCAACAACCCAAGACGGAATCCGAGTCAGACAGCTGAAGTGTGTGTGTGTGTGTTTTTATAGCACCGCGTGACGCGTAGGACTTCATATTACATCCAGCGTTTAACTGTTTGTCTATCTTGATAACTATGTCAGAGTTTTTCATATGCTAAAAAGAAAACAAAATTATACCTTTCTGGAAAGACTATTATGGTTAAAAAGAGTATTCTCGTGATCTTGGCGTTAATTAGAGGCATACATTGCCGCGATTTGTATTAATAATAATAATATTAAAATTCACATATTTGAATAAGTAATTCTTCA